CTTGCCTTGCATGCTTGAAGCCCTGGGTTCGATTCCTCAGCACCACATAAGCATAAAAAAAAGAAACTATATCCTATGACTGCCTGAAGAAAGCTAAACAAGGATACTGCTTCCTCTGTTCCTCCTAGGCAGTAGTGCTGGTCACACAGCTTCTCTCAGAAGCTGCATATCATCCATTCTCCATGTGCTTCTGCACCAGAGAATTGCACAGAGCAGTTTGAGCCCCCTGCAGAATGGTCAGCTAGGCAGTTTATTTTAAGACACCCATTTCTACAGTTGTGCAAATCAGCACACCTTCGTCGTATCCCAGGAATATTTATCTTTAATAAGATATCTTGGGTGAATTATATATTATATTTATTTTATACATTGTACTTATATAGTATATATTATATGTATTATGTATACTATTATTTATTATATTTAAATTCATATGTTTTAATATATGTTTATGTATTTTATTATGTATACATATATGTTATATATACATATATATACCTTCACTGACACACACACAGGTGTCTTGCTCAACTCTACATTCCCAGTTGCTCATCATGGGTAATTGCACCTTTCCCAGCACAACTGACTCTTACACTCTTCAAGATGTTAGATAAATATTAATGGAATTTGTTATGCTTTGGATATAAAGTATCCCTCAAAAAACTCACTTGCTGGAAGTTTGGTTCTCAGATTGTGGCACTATTGAGGGGTGATTGGATTGGATGGATTGTTATAGTTATAAATGGATTCACCCATTGACAAGTTCATAACTGAGTGGGCTATAGAAAGTAGGGACTAATTGGAGGATATGGGTCACTGGTGGTATACCTTTGAAAGGGATATCTTGTCTCTGCTCACTTCCTCCCTGGATGTGCTTTCCAAGAAGCCATAAGGTATATATCTTTCATCTGCCGCTCCTTCGCTGTGACATTCTGCTTTATCACTAGCCTGGACCAATGGAGCAAGCCAACAATAGACTGCAGGCTCTGAAGCCTAGCATTCTTTGAATTGATTTTATCAGGTATTGTGTTTCTGTAATGAAAAGATGACCAATAGAATTGAACTGATTTGGCAAAATAGCCACATATTAAGATGTTTCAACTCCACAAAGCTATGAAAAGATTCTGGGTGCTTGAGTCTCTGTTGGATCTCATGTAGATTTGATGAATTGGCCACCTATTGTTTTGGCCTGTTTAACATCTCATCTTTCCTCTGATGATAACTTTAATATTTTTTGAGGGAGATACTCCATTATTCAACAATTCTTGCCATTAGAGATGCACCGATACATTTTTTTTCACAACATAGAGCATGAGACCCAGACATGGTTGTTCAGAGTACCATATTTCTCTAGGTTATAGGTTGACTCAGAAACAGACATTTACCCAAGCAGGGCCAGAGACTTTCTCAAAATTTGATGGTGCTGTAGGGAAAGAGGTAGCTGCTTCTTCCTATTCTTTGTCTATCTCTCTCTCTCTGTGTCTCTCTCTCTTTCTTCCTTTCTTTCTCTCTCTCTTCTGTCTCTTCCTTTCTTCCTTCCTTTCTGCCTTTCTCTCTGTCTCTTCTCTGACTCTCCCTCCCTCCCTCTGTCCTTCCTTTCCTCCCTGCCTCCCTACTTCCCTCCTTCCTTCTTTCTTTTCTTGCTCTCTTGCTTTCTTTCTTTCTTTTTTGTTGGTCCCAGGGCTTGAACTCAGGGCCTAGATGTTATCCCTGAGCTTTGTGCTCAAGGCTAACACTCTTAACACATTGAGCCACAGCCCCACTTCCTGTTTTTAGGTGGTTAATTGGAGATAAGGGTCATAAGGATTTTCCTGTCAGGCTTTGAACTGTGATCCTCAGATCTCAGCCTCTAGAGTAGCATTACAGGTGTGAACCATCAGCACCTGGCTACAAAGTTTCTTCTTGATGGTTTTGCTAAACAACTAGAACAAGAGTTTGGATTTCTTTTTTCTTTTACTTTTCGTGTGTGTGTGTGTGTGTGTGCATGTGTGTGTGTGTGTGTGTGTGTGTGTGTGTAGGTCGTGAACTCTGGGCCTGGGCGCTGATCTTGAGCTCTTTAGTTCAACACTATTGCTTTACTACCACTTCTGGTTTTCTAGTGGGTTTTTTTGCTTCTTTTTAATATGCTTTCTTCTGTCTCTATAGATTTGCATGTTTTGTATACTTCATATAAATGGAACCAATATAAATATGGATATTTATTTGTGCACAGCTTCTTTCAGTTAACATAATGCTTTTATTTATTATTTATTGCCAAGTAAATATTCTACTGTCAGTGTATTATGAGGGTATCATTCCTTTTATATTGCTGAGTAATACTTCATTGTACACCACATTTCGACAATCCATTAACTGAATATCTCTTGATTTTTAATGAACTATGACTTATTTATCTATTTACCTAGTTTTGCCAGTTCTGGGGCTTGAACAAAGGGCATAAGCACTGTCCTTGAGCTTCTTTTGCTCAAGGCTAGCATTCTACCAGTTGAAACACAGTGCTACTTCGGTTTATCTGGTACTCAGGAATCCAACCCAGAACTTCATGCATGCTAGGTAAGCCCTCTACCACTAAGCCACATTCCTAGCCCTGAACTGTGTTTTTTTTTTTGTTTTTATTGTTTTGGTCGGTTGTGGAGCTTCACCACTGGCTTGGGAGTTGTCCCTCAGCTCTTCAGCTCAAGGCTACCCCTTGAGCCACAGGGCCACTTCTGATTTTTCCCATGATTTATTGGAGATAAGAGTGTCACCCACTTTCCTGCCCAGCTGGCTTTGAAGTGTGCTCCTCAGATCTTAGCCTCCTAAGTAGCTAGGATTACAGGCATGAGCTAATGGCACTTGACTTGAACTGTGGTTTTCTAAGTATAAAATGAAGCCAGGTGTGGTGGCACATGCCTGCAATCCTAGCATTCAAGCAGAAGAGGCAGGAGGTTCAGGAGTTAGAGGTCAGCCTGTGTAGCATAGCAAGATCCCTCTCTCAAAAATCCATGAGTTGACTTTTTCTGGCAAAAACATGTAATTAGATCATGTGTTTTTTTCCTACCAATCTCTACCTCCTAGCTGGATAGTTTAATCTATTCATATTTAATGTAATCATCAGTAAGGAAGACTTTGCTATTTTGTTGTCTGAAGGTCTTTTACTTTTCTCCTTCCAGTCCTCTTATGTATTTGAGTTCAATAGGTATTTCCTATTGTATAATTTTAATTATTTTGTCAGTTTACTGTGTATTTACTATGTATTGTTTAATTTTTTAGTGTTGAACTGGAAATGAATAATAGTATCTATTAGCAGCCTATTTTAAATAAGTTCTAACTCAATTTCACTAACAATTCCTTTTGTTTCTCCCTTCTACTCTATGCTGTTGTTGTTACAATTTATATCGGCCTTCATTGTATATCCTATAACATAGATACTTAGTTATTGACTTAGGTATTGTTTGCCTTTAAAAAAAAAGGAAAAAATGTTGTAAGCATAAATACTAACATCATTTATATTTACATACTTAGTTACTTTTGTACGTGTTCTTTCTTATCTCCAATTAACCAGCGAAAAGCTGAAAGTAGAGCTGTGCCTCAGTGGCAGAGCTTTGTGTGGAAAAAGCCAAGTGAGAACTCAAAGCCCTGAGTTCAAGCCCCAGTATAGGCACTCACACAAAAAGATCACCCTTGCGGCACTTCCATGCCTTGCTTTAACATCCCACACAACAGCAATAAGGGGGAGTCTTCAGGGCCCCTGGAGTTTTCAAATGCTGTCTATAGCTCCCTAAAATGCCATCTCAATAAACAGCATTAATACAATAGGTTCGCAGTTAGCCTCAGTGCTGATTCTATCAAGTTTAAATTACATTTGTACTAACCTGACCTCCTTATTTCTGTCCTCCTATAAGGAGGATTCTTACCCTGATTCTTACCGTTTGGGGTGGGTTACACTTTTTGATCTTACTCCAGCACCCACTCTTTGAACATTCTCCCCTCACCCCATTCCTCAGGGTGCATTCTGGAACTCCTGCTCTGGGGAATTTTGTTTAATTACGGCTACAAAGTTAAGGTAATGATGACACTGAACTTTCACGTTGGTAGGTAACTGGGCATCTCTGAAAGTCTGAGAAGTGGAATCACCCAATAGTCAAGAATATTTGCACGTTTGGAGAATGGAGAAGAGGAAGAGGCTCTCTCTGTCTGTCTCTCTGTCTGTCTCTCTTTGTCTTTCTCTCGGTAGAGACAATGTTTGAAGTTGCTGCAACTATTTGTTCTGAGGCTTAGAGGTGAAGCTCAAGGAATATAAACGAAGGCACCGACGGAAAAGGACAAAGCGAGGTGGGTCTCCCACAGTAAGCCACGATCGGTTTCCCGAACTCGGATCCTAGCTCTAGGATGCTACTTTGCGCTTGGCGTTTTCTTCTAGGCTTTTCCCCCCGCGACCAAAGGCGGCTATTCTGCCACGGACAGCGGGCACGGTGTCGGCGTCGCCCCGGCAGGGCGCGCGCGCTCTGCCGGCTCATCTAGGATAGTATCATCCTCGCGGCTGGCTGCCGAGCACGGCGCTGCTACGGTAGGCGATTCACTGGAGTCCCCCGCCTCCTCGGGAGCTTCCTCCCGCCTCCGGGAAAACCACGGAACACGGACCCGACCAGCCAGTTCCGCGCCTGGGTTCCCAGGCAGCGGGTACGCGCCCCCTCCTCCATCCCTCCCTCCATCCTCCATCCCCTCCCACTACATGCGCTGTTGCCGGGGACCTAGGCTCCGCCCACCTCCACTACTGGCCAATTTATCGAGGTCTGGGCACCGCCCAGCTCCAGCGTAGGCCAATGGTAGCCCGGAATAGGCACCGCCCTGGTTTTACAGGACCAATAGAAAGCGTAGCCCGGAGCAATCGGCCGCCCTCCCCCGGCGCCGCCGCCTCCCTCTCCACAACTGGGCGGGGAAGCAGAAAGGGGGCCGCTGGCTCCGCCCCGCTCCCCTCTGACCCCGGTGTCTGGTCTACTCCGTCTTCCTGTTCCAAACCACGTGGACGCGCTGAGGGGCTGCGGGATCTGCGGGACTAAAGGGCGGCCACCCGGGGCCGCCAGCGTCCCCGTCGCCGGGGGGTCGCGATCCGCGTGCCCCATCCGAAGTCTCGGGGTCTCGCGCCCGGGGAGGGGAGGGGTGGCCGGCGCCTCGGCGTCCGGGCGCGCACATGGCGACCCCGGCGCACTCGCTCGGCTACGCGGGCTGCAACTTCTTACGACAGCGGCTGGTCCTGTCCACCCTGAGCGGCCGCCCCGTCAAGATCCGGAAGATTCGGGCCCGAGACGACAGCCCGGGCCTCCGCGGTGCGTACCTGAGGGGGGCGGCACGGGGTTCGGAGTGAGCGGGCGGCCGGGGGCCGCGGGGGGGCGGGGGCTTGGGGGGCCCGGGCGTTTCGGGGTGCGGGGGTAACGTGGGGGGCCCGGGCGTCTCGGGGTGCGGGGGTACGTGGGGGCCCCGGGCATCTCGGGGTGCGGGGGGTGCGGGGACCCCGGACGTCGCGGGGTTCGGGAGGGGAGCGGGGGGGGAGGACGTGGGGGGTCCCCCGGGCGTCTCGGGGTGCGGGGCGACTGCGGGGCGCTGGTAGTAAACATGCACACGTTTCCCAGCCTGACGTGTTATTGCCAGCTCCCTCTCGCGTCCGCCACTCAGTGCCACAAACCTCTCCCCCAAAAGTGTGTGTGTGGGGGAACAGTCGGTGGGCTCGAATTGTGGTCCAGGAGCATCTGGAGAGGAAAAAAAAAATAACCACGGGTTGGTTCCAAAAGCAGCGCCGCCCCCACGCTCGTGTTGCTCGGCTGCTCCGCCTTCCTTGGGTGTGAATTGGAGAATTTAAAAGAAGAATGTGTTTGTGTCCATCAGGACGCGTGATTGATAGGCCCGGAGTGAATCTGGACATGGATGGGTCACTAGGTAGGCCCACGTGTCTTCACTTCACGCAAGCAGTCAACTGTAGATTTTTGGAAGCTCCCTTCTTGTCCCACAGAGCTAGATACCATAATAAAAAAAAGATCACATTTAAGTCTCTCAAATCAGAATAGTTTTTATTTTTGGCTGGTCCCCTGGAATCATAGGCATATGCCTTTGAAGACTTATTACTGATTTTTCCAACAGTGGACAAAAGAAAACCAAAGGTGTGTGGTTAGTCACAGAAACTTCCTCGGTCAGGATGATACCTTTAACTTTTCTCTGGCTCCTGTATTCGGTGGCCCGTCCATTTCATCATATGTCTGAATACATTTTTTTTTTTTTGATAGTTCTACTTCTGTCTTTTTTTCTTTTTTTTTGGTGCCAGTACTAGTGCTTGAATTCAGGGCCTGGGTGTTGTCTCTGAGCTTTTTTTGCTCAAGGCTAGTGCTCTACAATTTGAAAAACTGGTCTACTCCTGCTTTTTTGCTGGTAATTGGAGATAAGAGTCTTACAAACATTCCTATCCTGGCTGGCTTTGAAACATAGTCCTCAAATCTAGCATCCTGAGTAGCTAGGATTACGGGTGTCAGCCAGCAGTGGCCCGCTATGCTATTTCTGCATTTCTTTAAGGGAGATTGTCGCATATGGTGCGATGGAATGTTATGTCAGCTGATGAAGGTAGAAGATTGGGAAGGAAAGAACCACAAGATCTTATGTACAGTGATGAGGGTGATATTAGGAAAAGCTTGCCCATATAGTTCCTGTGCTCTGTGTACTACTTAGAAACTGGAGGTGGAAAGCTGGATGTGGTGCAACACACCTGTAATCCTAGCATTCTGGAGACTGAGACAGGGATGCTCATAAGTATTTGGCCTGCCTGGGCTATGCAGTGAGATCCTGTCTAAGAAGGAAGGAGAGAGAGAAAGCTGAGCCAGTTAAGGAAAGATCACTGAGTTATTTGTGCAGTGACTTTGTCACCCTTCTTTTCAGTCTGGCCTTGTGAAAAGTGATTGATTAGTGTTCACATTGATCTTTTTCATTTTTGAACTCCAGATTAGTCTAGAGACATACAAGAAGATACATACAAGAAGGGCTTCTATTTTCTATGAACTCTGGATTTTTTTTGAATAGAGGTGCCTTAGAATAAAGACTTTTCTTTTATATATATATATATATATATATATATATGTTTTGTAAAAATACTGTACTGAGGGGTTACAGTTACACGAGTAAGGTAATGAGTACATTTCCTATCGGGCATTGTTACCTTCTCCTTTGTTTTTCCCCTCCCTGACTTTTTTTTTTTCTTTTTAAACAACAAATACATTGCTATACAATAGAAAGTTGTGAGCCCCTGGTAGCTTGATGAGAGATATAACCAACAGGCTGTGTTGCTAGTTGTCTCTTTCTGCTTTTTTCTGATTCAGGTTATGACAGTTGGAAACAACTCAGGGAATATCCAGTAAGATCTTCAGTAAAACCTCTGGCCAGATACAAGAATAACATCTGCCAAAAGTACTCCAGCATCCCCCATGGAGTGGACTGAGGGGAATAGGCATTTTTATGGGAGGCCTTCTACCTCAGGACCATTCTTTCATAAAAAATTTATTGAGCCTGTTTATGTGCAAGGTTTTTTGAGGGGCATAAGATGTGAGAAGTTTGCCTCTGCTCTTCAGGGGCTTACTATCTAAGCAGGAAGAATTTTGAGTAACTTGTAGTAGAAAAAGCTGAGGCTGGCCTGCGAAGTTACAAAGGAAAACTTTGTGGATCTCTTTGTGTCTTGATAGGATGGAGTGAGTGCTGTGAGGATCCTTATAGGTGAAGGAAATGGTTCTTAAGTAAAGATGTTCTTTATTTTCTTTATTTCACCATGGTAAAAGTCGTCATGGTCGTACTAGCTTGGCAGTTAAGAGTTTAGGTTTAGTATTAGACCTTGGATTGAATCCTGGTCTAACTTACTTTTAGCTCTTGGACCATAGGTAAGTCCTTTAATGTTTCTTAGGCTCCACTTCCTATCATTTGTGTAGGGTGATTAGTGCTACCTATCTCATAGGATTATGATGAGTTCTAATAAATACTTAAAAGTGTAGTGAGCTGGGCATGGTGGTTTAAGGCTGTAATCCTAGCTGTCAGGTCTCAGAGGATCACAGAAAAGTTCTGAGACTCCATCTTACTTAGTGGCTGGGAGCAGTGATGTATCTCTGTTATCTTAGGGAAGCACAAGTAAGGGGGACCACAGCCCAGGTTGGCCTGGGCATAAACTGAAACACTACCTTGAAAGTAAGAAACACAAAAAGGTGCTAGAAATGTGGTTCAAGGCGTAGAATGCCTGCTTTGCAAGCATGAGACCCGAGCCCCTGATTCAATCCCTAGTACTGTGGACTATTAGATGTAGTTGGTACCTATGGGGTAAAGCGCTGCTCTCTGATATCCTGAATCTGTTCCTGTTTCTGCTTGGAAACTTTTCAGAACTTTAAAGAGAATTATATCTTTTCAGTTTTTTTCATTTAGCTGACCAGTTCTAGTTATTTGTATGTACTTTGTGAATGCAGTGATTGTCAGCTAGAGGTATAGTTGCTCAACAAAGGGCATTTGGCAGTGTTTGGAGACCTTTCTGGTTATTTCAACTTGGAGTGTTGTTTTGGTATTGACATCTAGTATTGACCAGTGTACTGCTAAATATTCTATGAGGCAGGATAGTTTCCCGCAATAATTATTCTGTCCAAAAGTCAGTTGTGCTGATGTTGAAAATGACTATATTTTAATAGTTAAAACCTTTCTTTTCCCATATCCTTGATGATTAGGAATAGCAGCCTGTGGCATTAAGAAAACTGCCCAACAGTTAGGTGTAGTGGTGCATATCTGTCATCTTAACAGGTGGGAGACTGAGGCAGAAGAATCATGAGTTCAAGACCAGCCTGTACTACATAGAGAATTTGAGGACAGCCTGCGTAGCCTAATGAATGCGATGCTGTCGCAAAGCAAAGCAAAACAGCAGAACAACAAAATGAAAACTGCAAGGATTCTCAAGGAGACAGACCTAGGTCAAACTCTGGGAGTTCACTATCCCCTTCCTATCCAGAGACGTTGTAGTTAATGAGAAGAACTTGAGTCTTCAAATTGATGCTGGAATGCTTTCAGTGATTGACGTATTCACGTTGGGCATGGTGTAGTATACGGCACTCTGGAGACTGAGGCAGCAGGGTCTTGAGTTCTAGGCCATCCTGGGCTATTTTATAGTCAGCATCAATTACACTATATCATTATATGCTTCCTGACATTAAAGAGGAAATGTCATTTTGCTGAAGATAAAAAGCCAAAGATATAGAAAGCTTCTGAGTTAAACATTCAGTGAGAATTCATCCAGCTCCAGCCTGAAGACTTATTTTCCCCTGTTTAACTTCACAATAGACAGTATTTTGTACCATTTTAAAAAGTAAACTTTATTGTACTGACTATCCTCATCAGCATCATAAAGCTCTGTCCCAAGTACTTTTGTCTCTGCATATCATAAAGCCCATGACTTGAGAGTTCATTCAGGTCTTGTTTTCTCTGGAATAACTGGGAGCAAATGCTTTGTTGTAGTTAGTTGTGTTTAATTTCTTGAGAGACTGCCAAGCTTTTTTTTAGGGTGATTGTACTATTTTATTCTCACCAACAAGTGAGTGATTCAATTGCTCTTCATTCTCCAGCCTTTGACTATTTTTAGCTGTAGTAATTCTACTACTTATGCAGTAATATCTCATTGTGGCTTTAATCCACATATCACAAAGTGACTAATGATGTCTTTATTTTTTTAATGCCATTGCCCATTTTCTAATAGGACTGTTGATTTGTTTATAATGTTTCAAGAGTTTTAAGAGTTGGTAGTGGTTTTGTTTTCTTGTTTTGACTTGTCCTTAACCATGAGTTTTGGGCATTCGGTGGCTTGCCAATAATTCTCTATGTTTCAGTTCTTCATCTTTATAAGTAATCAATTTACAAAAATAAACAATTATTTCATAATGTTTTATAAATAATTTGTAAGTTATTTTTTAAATCTTTTATTGTAAAAATGCTGCACAGAGGGGTTTCAGTTACATGAGTAAGGCAATGAGTACATTACTTGGGGTTACAGTTACATGAGTAAGGCAATGAGTATATTACTTGGGGTTACAGTTACATGAGTAAGGCAATGAGTACATTACTTGTCGAGCATTGTTGCCCCTTCCCTTCTTTGCTGTTGTCCCACTATCCCCTCCCTCTCCACTCCTCTCCCATACCACCCCCCCCAAAGTTGTAAAGTTATTTCTAGTATACTGTCCTGTGGGTATCCTTGTTGCAATGGGTCATCCTGTGTCCTTGTTTCAGCCTTTTGTTATTCCTCTTCCCCTCCCCAAGTTAGATAAATGTATGT